ACTGGCCAGGGAGGTATACCATCTTTTAGGAGTGAAGAAGAGCAGCACGTGAGTGTGGTGGAGGTACGTGAGGCATTACGTATACCAGGAAAAGTATACGGTAGGGTTATAATTGAAAGAATTAGAGGTAAGACAGAATGTAGAATTGCGGATGAGCAAGGAGGCTTCAGAGTGGGTAGGGGATGTGTAGATCAAGTGTTTACATTGAAGCATATATGTGAACAGTATTTAGATAAAGGTAGGGAAGTTTTTATTGCATTTATGGATTTAAAAAGGCATATGATAGAGTGGATAGAGGAGCAATGTGGCATATGTTACAAGTTATGGAATAGGTGGTAAGTTACTAAATGCTGTAAAGATCTTTTATGAGGATAGGAGGCTAGGTTAGGGTGTGTAGAAGAGAGGGAGAATACTTCCCGGTAAAAGTAGGTCTTAGACATGGATGTGTAATGTCACCATGGTTGTTTAATATATTTATAGATGGGGTTGTAAAAGAAGTAAATGCTAGGGTGTTCGGGAGAGGGGTGGGATTAAATTATGGGAATCAAATTCAAAACAGGAATTGACACAGTTACTTTTTGTGATGATACTGTCTTATGGGAGATTCTAAAGAAAAATTGCAAAGGATAGTGGATGAGTTTGAGAATGTTGTGTGAAAGGTAGAAAGCTGAAAGTGAACATAGAAAAGAGTAAGGTGATGAGGGTATCAAATGATTTAGATAAAGAAAAATTGGATATCAAATTGGGGAGGAGGAGTATGGAAGAAGTGAATGTTTTTAGATACTTGGGAGTTGATGTGTCAGCGGATGGACTTATGAAGGATGAGGTTAATCATAGAATTGATGAGGGAAAAAAGGTGAGTGGTGCGCTGAGGTATATGTGGAGTCAAAAACATTATCTAGGAGGCAAAGAAGGGAATGTATGAAAGTATAGTAGTACCAACACTCTTATATGGATGTGAAGCTTGGGTGGTAAATGCAGCAGCGAGGAGACGGTTGGAGGCAGTGGAGATGTCCTGTCTAAGGGCAATGTGTGGTGTAAATATTATGCAGAAAATTCGGAGTGTGGAAATTAGGAGAAGGTGTGGAGTTAATAAAAGTATTAGTCAGAGGGGAGAAGAGGGGTTTGTTGAGGTGGTTTGGTCATTTAGAGAGAATGGATCAAAGTAGAATGACATGGAAAGCATATAAAAACTATAGGGAAGGAAGAGGGGTAGGGGTCGTCCTCGAAAGGGTTGGAAAGAGGGGGTAAAGGAGGTTTTGTGGGCGAGGGGCTTGGACTTCCAGCAAGCGTGCATGAGCGTGTTAGATAGGAGTGAATGGAGACGAATGATACTTGGGACCTGACGATCTGTTGGAGTGTGAGCAGGGTAATATTTAGTGAAGGGATTCAGGGAAACCGGTTATTTTCATATAGTTGGACTTGAGTCCTGGAAATGGGAAGTACAATGCCTGCACTTTAAAGGAGGGGTTTGGGATATTGGCAGTTTGGAGGGATATGTTGTGTATCTTTATCCGTATATGCTTCTAAACTGTTGTATTCTGAGCACCTCTGCAAAAGTAGTGATAATGTGTGAGTGTGGTGAAAGTGTTGAATGATGATGAAAGTATTTTCTTTTTGGGGATTTTCTTTCGTTTTTGGGTCACCCTGCCTCGGTGGGAGACGACCGACTTGTTGAAAAAAAAAAAAAAATGTATACATAAGTATAATTACCAGAGTATATATAAAATATGAAATAACTTTTAAAAACACTTAAAATTTTGGAGTTTCCAGACATAATGGAGAGACTTAGTGCTTACGGATCTCACAGAGAATGTAAACAAACCAGGTGGGGCGCGGTGACCGTATTAGAAAGTCAGGTGGGGGGAGCCGTACAGTGAGTTTTGGTCATAATTTGAAATGACCGTATTAGCAGAACGCCGTAAAGTGAAACGCCGTAAAGTGGGGCCCTACTGTACTTACTTTACAACCCTATCTATAAATATATTAAACAACCATGGTGACATTACACATCCCTGTCTAAGACCTACTTTTACTGGGAAGTAGTCTCCCTCTCTTCTACACACCCTAACCTGAGCCTCACTATCCTCATAAAAACTCTTTACAGCATTTAATAACTTACCACCTATTCCATATACTTGCAACATCTGCCACATTGCTCCTCTATCCACTCTATCATATGCCTTTTCTAAATCCATAAATGCAATAAAAACTTCCCTACCTTTATCTAAATACTGTTCACATATATGCTTCAATGTAAACACTTGATCTACACATCCCCTACCCACTCTGAAACCCCCCTGCTCATCTGCAATCTACATTCTGTCTTACCTCTAATTCTTTCAATTATAACCTACCGTATACTTTTCCTGGTATACTCAGTAAACTTATTCCTCTAATTTTTACAATCTCTTTTGTCCCCTTTCCCTTTATATAAAGGGACTATACATGCTCTCTGCCAATCCTAGGTACCTTCCCCTCTTTCATACATTTATTAAACAAAAGTACCACCACTCCAACACTATATCCCCCCTGCTTTTAACATTTCTGTCATGATCCCATCAGTTCCAGCTGCTTTACCCTCTTTCATTCTACATAATGCCTCACGTACCTCCCCCCAACTTACATTCTGCTCTTCTTCACTCCTAAAAGATGGTGTACCTCCCTGACCAGTGCATGAAATTACCGCTTCTCTTTCTTCCTCAACATTTAAAAGTTCCTCAAAACATTCTCGCCATCTACCTAATACCTCCATCTCCCCATCTACTACTCCCCTACTCTGTTTTTAACTGACAAAGCCATACTTTCCCTAGGCTTGTTTAACTCACTCCAAAATTTTTTCTAATTTTCATTAAAATTTCCCACCAAGGCAGGGTGGCCTGAAAAAGAAAAACTTTCACCATCATTCACTCCATCACTGTCTTGCCAGAAGGGTGCTTTACACTACAGTTATTAAACTGCAACATTAACACCCCTCCTTCAGAGTGCAGGCACTGTACTTCCCATCTCTAGGACTCAAGTCCGGTCTACCAGGTTTCCCTGAATCCCTCCATAAATGTTACTTTGCTCACACTCCAACAGCACGTCAAGTACACCTATCATCCGACTTACGACCTGCTCGACTTACGACCACTCGACTTACGACCACTCGACTTACGACAGTGTTTTTTATGCCAAATTTCTGGGAAATAAACAACTATTTGTTTTGTACAAAGTATTTATCCTAAACCTTACAGTATAAAATACAGTACTAACAGCATAAAAAGTAAAGTAAAACGTGAAATACCAAAAAAAAACAATAAAATAAAGTCATTACAAAAATGTTTTGTTGATATTCAGTAGTAAAGTTTGACTTACAGCCGGTTTCTCGGAACCAGACTCGGTCGTAAGTCGGATGGTAGGTGTATTAAAAACCATTTGTCTCCATTCACTCCTATCAAACATGCTCACGCATGCCTGCTGTAAGTCCAAGCCCCTCGCACACAAAACCTCCTTTACCCCCTCCCTCCAACCTTTCCTAGGCCGACCCCTACCCCGCCTTCCTTCCACTACAGACTGATACACTCTTGAAGCCATTCTGTTTTGTTCCATTCTCTCTACATGTCCGAACCACCTCAACAACCCTTCCTCAGCCCTCTGGACAACAGTTTTGGTAATCCCAAACCTCCTCCTAACTTCCAAACTACGAATTCTCTGCATTATATTCACACCACACATTGCCCTCAGACATGACATCTCCACTGCTTCCAGCCTTCTCCTTGCTGCAACATTCATCACCCATGCTTCACACCCATATAAGAGCGTTGGTAAAACTATACTCTCATACATTCCCCTCTTTGCCTCCAAGGACAAAGTTCTTTGTCTCCACAGACTCCTGAGTGCACCGCTCACCCTTTTCCCTTCATCAATTCTATGATTCACCTCACTTTCATAGACCCATCCGCTGACACGTCCACTCCCAAATATCTGAATACATTCACCTCCATACTCTCTCCCTCCAATCTGATATCCAATCTTTCATCACCTAATGTTTTTGTTATCCTCATAACCTTACTCTTTCCTGTATTCACTTTTAATTTTCTTCTTTTGCATACCCTACCAAATTCATCCACCAGCCTCTGCAACTTCTCTTCAGAATCTCCCAAGAGCACAGTGTCATCAGCAAAGAGCAACTGGTTACAGAAATGTCCATTATTATTAAAATCATGCCAATACAATTTCTTCTCTCTTTACCACACTTGCTCAGTGTGAAAGTTGATCAGTGTGAAACATGCTTACTGCATGTTTCACACTGATCAACTTCCACTTCTCTGGTATGATACTAATTTGCATTAATATACTGGAGACAAAGTCCTGCATCCCTGTTAAACTTGTTTATGGATGACATAACAACGATGATGAGGTAAGTGAAATGTTTGGGAAAGATCCCACAGCAATGTTGACGTGAATGAAACATCTGGGAAAGATCCCACAACAATGTTGAGGTGAGTGAAACGTCTAGGAAAGAGCCCACAACAATGTTGAGGTGAGTGAAACATCTGGGAAAGATCCCACAACAATGTTGAGGTGAGTGAAACGTCTGGGAAAGATCCCACAACAATGTTGAGGTGAGTGAAACGTCTGGGAAAGATCCCACAACAATGTTGAGTGAGTGAAATGTCTGGGAAAGATCCCACATTATGCAGTCATTACAAGAGCAAGATCCTACAAGAACAATAAGATCCTGCAAGAACAAGATCCTACAAGAACAATAAGATCCTGCAAGAACAAGATCCTACAAGAACAATAAGATCCTGCAAGAACAAGATCCTACAAGTGCAGTAAGATCCTACAAGGGCAGCAAGATTTCTGAGAGCATTCCAACAAATAATAAAAACAACTGAAAATTATCAAAGGTAAACAAAATCCTCAAGCTACAAATATTCTGAAATTTTAAATAAGATTTCAGAAAAATTTCTACAATAACATGCAACTTAAACCAGTATATAATGTCAACTTACACTGCACTTAAGTGTTCCCTGGGAGATAAAACATGAAAAATAGAGACTGGTTAGTTAATATATAGAACACAAATCATTCACATTCTGTACACAGCATACTAGATTTTTTTTATGGCATGCATTCCACTAACATAAATCATGTATTTCCTGCTATGGAAACTGAGAACTTTATACATCTTTCCTATCATTACACTATCTTCTAATTGGTACATTCATCATTCACAATCAGCATTTCTACAGCCTAGAGTATCCTCATCACTGCAGCATTCAACAACCATGCTTAACTACCACACAAGTCTTGATGCCACTCTACTATGGTACATTTCCCTTTTTTCATTCAATGATAAACTTTTTCCCACATAGTCAACAATCCATCTACTTTTACTTTCGTGAAATGTACTAAATAATTTAACTCATATTTCATATGTCCATCTTCAGACACAACCACAGGTGAAAAAGACACAGTAACAAGGAGACCCTTCATTATTACAGCACTTTATCTACAAGAGTCTTTACAAGCTAACTCTTGTAATAATATATAGTGCTTTTTTCCTATACTAGTCAATTTATCCACCACTTGTTTGCACACAGTCACACTCCAACTATAGATACATTCACTCCCACATATGTAAATACATTCTTCCTCCATCCCCCTACTATGACAGCCAATCTTTCAGTCTAGACAATAACTTACTTTCATCCCTAGGCTCCTTTCTAACTTCACCCTCAACCTTCTTCCCATTTTTTTTTTTGTATATTTTAACCCTTAAACGGTCCAAACGTATATATACGTTCACTCGCGTAGCGCCCCAAATTTTTTGAGGAAAAAAAATCTTTTCTTTTAAAAGGAAAAAAGAGCATATGGTACCCAGGCATCCCCAATTATTTTAATATGGCACACAATGAGTGCGCACACCCATTCTCTCATGTCTAGGTGACTCAGGCTTATTGTGGCAATGTTGAATGAATGACAGAAAACGTATATATACGTTTGGGGCGCTACTGCGCGTGAACGTATATATACGTTTGGACCGTTTAAGGATTAAGACACAAGTATTGCTGCTCTATTCCCTTTACAATAAACAGGCAAGAGACACGTGTCTTACTTCATGCTAGGATTAGTAAGGACTACTTACTGTGCATGTGTGTGTGTGTGTGCGCACGCATGTATGTGTGTACTATATATGCTCACTTCTATTAAAAAAAAGCACTGCAGATATTTAACAAGACAGAGTTTATTATTAATATTTACATTCATGGGGAAATGCTAAAACTATAGGGGTCATACAATGCATGGGGAAATGCTAAACATATAGGGGTCATACAATGCATGGGGAAATGGGAGGCATCCAGGTTTGATCCAAGGAAAGGGAATTCAAGCCCAGTTTCTTGGAGCAAGAGCCTCTCACTGGCATCAAGGAACCTCCCTTGAGCAGTTAATAAGACTGAGAAGTCATTGTCATGTGATATGGCCCATTCTTCTGTACGTTTATTTGGAAAAAGATAACATGATGGCTCACGTACTCACATAGTATTAAACAGCTGACGATACTCATCATCTCCCTTATTTTCACTGACTAAGATATCCAGTTTATCTATTAACTCTGTTTCAACCTGCAAAATTTAAAAAATATTTACCATATACAGAGTAAACTTGGTAAAATAATTTTCTTATATACTATAACCATCTTACTAACATATTCTTAAACACTGATGAAGCAGAGCAAAAAAAAAGCCAGTTTTACAATATGACGAATTCAATGATCATACTTACAAGGAGGTTTATAAAATCTTTGATTCTAGCAACTTTATATATAATTAAAACAATAAAAAAAACTACTAAAACCCCATATAAATTATGTTTATTACTGCTACTAATCCATTACGTATTCAAAACTTGTTTAAATGAGTTTCTTTAATTATTTAACTGTTTTACATTGCTATTTTATTTCCATGAACTATTTTGTAGGTCTCACACTGAGTACTTTTTTTATTTTTTAACCTCAAAAGTTGCCTCCCACCAAAGCAGGTGACCCAAAGAAGAAATCACATTCACCATCATTCCTTCAACTGTCATTTTTTAAAAAATGTGCTGATGTTAAAATAACAATTACCTTCCAACTGCAACATCCTCACTCCTCCTTCAGAGAGCAAGCCCACTAATCTTTTTATTTACCTCTTACAGTTATGCTCACCGCTATTACACCTCATGAAGAGACTATGGCAGAATGGAAACCTTTACTGAGATAATGACTGGCATGAAGAATAAGAAAAAGCTTGGTCTCCATGAGAAACAGTGTATCAATAAAAATGCCTTTTTTTATCAGCTTGTTGGTTTTTAACTTTCTTTCCCACAGAAGTTTATTAAGAGTACTCTCCCAGCCATTTTAAAACATCTGTGCTTTGTTTTTTAAAAAACGAACACTATAAAAAATGAAGCTTAGTAAGAAAACAGTCATGAAATTATTATTTTAATACACATGATGACAAATTTACAGAAAAACCCACAAAAACTTTGACTCAAGTGAATTAATTATGATTACTGTAAACAGATCTTTCTTTTAAAAAGGAGAAAACTTCCAGATAGAACAAAGTCTAGGTAGACCTTGAGTAATGCTTGTGGTTACCAACATTAAACAGCATTATAAAGGTAGTCTTTAACAGGATTTTAAACTTTCAAGGGTAAATGAACCCTAGGCAAACTAGTCAGTAACTGAAGATAATGAAAGGATACTTCTCCCCAATAAGATAGCAGACAACATTGAAATCATGACACTATAACCTAAATTGAGGTATGATATTAACATAAAATTCCACACCACTTATTATGAATGAAATAAGAAAGAAGAAATGTTTGATAAATTACTTGCTTAAGAAAATTTCAGTAGTGGAATAAACTGAGAGGTGTTTAAGAAATGTGAGAAATTTGGAACATTTAACAGATAAAGGTCAGAGAAGTACATCCATGAACAAATTTTACAATCTAGTGTAAATGCATTAAAATGAGAAGCCTCGAAAAGGTTGGAGGGCGAGAGGTTTGGACTTTCAGCAAGCAGGAGTGAATGGAGACAAATGGTATTTGGGACCTGACGAGCTGTTGGAGGGTGAGCAGGGTAATATTTAGTGAAGGGATTCAGGGAAACTGGTTATTTTATATAACCGGACTTGAGTCTTGGAAATGGGAAGTACAATGCCTGCACTCTAAAGAAGGGGTTTGAGATATTGGCAGTTTGGAGGGATATATTGTGTATTTTTATACGTATATACTTCTAAACTGTTGTATTCTGGGAACCTCTGCAAAAACAGTGATTATGTGTGAGTGATGTGAAAGTGTTGAATGATGATGAAAGTACATGTATTTTCTTTTTGGGTCACCCTGCCTCGGTGAGAGATGGCCGACTTACGAAAAAAAAAATTATATAAGAGAACAAAGAAAACTAGGAATAAAAGATATAATCCTACAAGAAAACTAACTACCCTTGAAATGAAATCAGTCTGCCAGGCAATCACTTAGCATTTTAAAAACTGTCCAAGACAACTTTATTTCACTATGTGGTAAACCTGTGTGGATCATTCAGCACAAGGAGTGGTAGAGACTTGATCTACCACTCCTTGTGACATGTCTCTTATTGGTTTTAAGGTCTCTTTTACCACCATAACCCAGTCTGAGGCCAGAAATCTATCCAAAACCAATCCAAGTATACGGGGGCTTCAACCATTACTGCACCATATTCTGTTACCTTCTAAAACTCTCAGACTGCCACAATAACAATAATGTAAGTAAACACTGCATAATATTATATTCACCTGTTTAAAGCTACCCTTCGCTTGCTGCTCTGCTTGCATCATGTCAAAAAAGATGGGAAGAGTAGCTTTACGAAGCTCAGGTTCAGGAACCAGTGTTACTTCCAAAAATGGACCAACCATCCCTGGGATGAAGTGCAAGCGATGATCATCTGAAAACAATACAGAATGGAGCATGAGGGTTCATCTTGTTATAAGATCAATCTCTGTTGGTATGATTTTTTTTATTTCAAATGAGTAGGAAAAGAACATTAATTGGAAAATTTATTTCAGCTATAATATCTGTAAGAGTTGACTTAATAGATGGGCAGTCATAACATGGTAAATATACTCATATGCTGCAATGAATTGATATAAAAAAAAACAGTTGTTACCACAGATCATCTCATATTTTACCAACTGAAAACTTTTATGTATGCTGATTAGATATAATTTAGATGTAGAAACCAATATTTAGTACTTAAATACTGAAAAATAATTATTCTTGCATTTCCAATTAAGACTGAATGCTACAGTCACAGATACTACAGTATCACTGAAAAGCACCATCTCATTTTATTCCATCTATTAGTAATGCTAGACAACAAGGATTTTATTTGGAATAGGCAGAAAAACACAATCTGGTACACATGTAGTTGACTAATATTTTTGAGGTGAAAATCAGTCAAGAAATAAGTTATTTTTTTCATGCTATTTACAAGTTGTATTTTCGCTCATAGTATACTATTAAATGCTAACATTTTTCAACAATTTAAAAAAAAAAAAAAAAAAAGCAAGCACATGTGTATTCTACTGGCCTCTCTAATAAAACTAAAAATTTTTTGCCCCCCCCCCCCAAAAAAAGTCATCAAAACTTTGGCCCCTGATAGGTTGGATAATGAAATGGCCACCATACTTATTTTCAAAGAGAATTGTTGACTGTGCTCAAAATACAAGAATGTGACAAATTTTGGTTACGTGGTACTTACCAAGTTCACGCCACATTGAAAGGATCTGAAATCCCATTAAAACTCGCATGTCATTGTAACGTTCAAGCACTTTATGCCGCTTCTGTTGTGAGAAATGTTCTAATTGCAAGCATGGTTGAGTTAGAAATCCTACTGCCAGATTCAAATAGCTACTCCAGAGCTGAAATACCAAGAAAAGCTTCATTAATAAATCTTGTTACTAAACTGTTGTATTCTGAGCACCTCTGCAAAAACAATGATTATGTGTGAGTGAGGTGAAAGTGTTGAATGATGATGAAAGTATTTTCTTTTTGGGGATTTTCTTTCTTTTTGGGTCACCCTGCCTCGGTGGGAGACGGCAGACTTGTTAAAAAAAAAAAAAAAAAAATTAAAAAGTGTCCAGAATAGATGTACAATGCACTCATGACTGTAAATGATATACATATATCCTCTATTTGTGACCTTAACCTCAAAATATATGAACACAAGCGTGCATGAGCGTGTTAGATAGGAGTGAATGGAGACGAATGATACTTGGGACCTGACGATCTGTTGGAGTGTGAGCAGGGTAATATTTAGTGAAGGGATTCAGGGAAACCGGTTATTTTCATATAGTCGGACTTGAGTCCTGGAAATGGGAAGTACAATGCCTGCACTTTAAAGGAGGGGTTTGGGATATTGGCAGTTTGGAGGGATATGTTGTGTATCTCTATACGTATATGCTTCTAAACTGTTATATTCTGAGCACCTCTGCAAAAGCAGTGATAATGTGTGAGTGTGGTGAAAGTGTTGAATGATGATGAAAGTATTTTCTTTTTGGGGATTTTCTTTCTTTTTTGGGTCACCCTGCCTCGGTGGGAGACGACCGACTTGTTGAAAAAAAAAAAAAAAAAAAAAACTTTTAAAAACATCCTGCGTTGGTGATACACACATGTACTGGATTATTGTATATTCTGCTGTTTAACAATAATGATACAAACATACAAATCGCTCTAGTAAACTTTATGACCTAGACACACTTGGATATTGTTGTAAATGGTTGCATTTTTTCAAACTTCAAGTTATAAAACTTTCATGAAATGTAACAAATTAATGAGTGCAATCTAGAATTATAATAATTTACTAATATAAATTTTTTGACGGGATAAATTTAAAGCCTAATTCTGCTAAGAACTTTAAATAAATTGAGTAATTCTTTATCTCATCCTTACACATTTCAAGTTTCTACGTAAAAATAAGGTAAAATATACATATACTTTCCTAAAGATTTTGGGCACTGTAATGCATTGTCAGATTGCAGATCTTTTGTGTGTGTGTGTGTGTGTGTGTGTGTGTGTGTGTGTGTGTGTGTGTGTGTGTGTGTGTGTGTGTGTGTGTGTGTGTGTGTGTGTGTGTGTGTGTGTGTCTGTACTCACCTATTTGTGGTTGCAGGGGTCGAGTCACAGCTCCTGGCCCCGCCTCTTCGCTGATTGCTACTAGGTCCTCTCTCTCCCTGCCCCATGAGCTCTATCATACCTTGCCTTAAAACTATGTATGGTTCCTGCCTCCACTACGTCACCCTCCAGGCTATTCCACGGCCTGACTACTCTATGACTGAAGAAATACTTCCTAACATCCCTTTGATTCATCTGAGTCTTCAACTTCCAATTGTGACCTCTTGTGTCTGTGTCCCTTCTCTGGAACATCCTGTCTTTGTCCACCTTGTCTATTCCGTGCAGTATTTTATATGTCGTTATCATGTCTCCCCTGACCCTCCTGTCCTCCAGTGTCGTCAGGGCCGATTTCCCTCAACCTTTCTTCGTAGGACAATCCCCGTAGCTCTGGGACTAGTTTGTTGCAAACCTTTGCACTTCTCTAATTTCTTGACTGCTTGACTAGGTGTGGATTCCAAACTGGTGCTGCATACTCCAGTATGGGCCTGACGTAAATGGTATACAGAGTCTTAAAACGAATCCTTACTGAGGTATCGGAACGCTATCCGTAGGTTTGCCAGGCGCCCGCATGCTGCAGCAGTTATCTGATTGATGTGCGCCCTCAGGAGATATGCTCGGTGTTATCTCACCCCCAGATCTTTTTCCTTGAGTGAGGTTTGCAGTCTTTGGCCATCTAAACTATATTGTGTCTGCAGTCTACTTGGCCCTTCCCCAATCTTCATGACTTTGCATTTGGCAGGGTTAAATTCAAGGAGCCAGTTGCTGGACCAGGCTTGTAGCCTGTCCAGGTCTCTCTATAGTCCTGCTGATCCTCATCCGATTTGATTCTTCTCATTAACTTCGCATCATCTGCAAACAAGGACACTTCTGAGTCTATCCCTTCCGTTATGTCGTTCACATATACCAAGAACAGCACAGGTCCTAGGACTGACCCTGTGGAACCCCGCTTGTCACAGGCGCCCACTCTGACACCTCGTCGCGTACCATGACTCGTTGTTGCCTCCCTGTCAGGTATCTCTGATCCATTGCAGTGCCTTTCCTGTTATGTGTGCCTGATCCTCTAGCTTTTGCAGTAACCTCTTGTGAGGAACTGTGTCGAAGGCCTTCTTGCAGTCCAAAATATGCAGTCGATCCATCCCTCTCTCTCTTGTCTTACTTCTGTCACCTTGTCATAAAACTCTAGTAGGTTTGTGACACAGGATTTTCCTTCCCTGAAACCGTGCTGGTTGTCCAATTATACACTTGTTTCTTTCCAGGTGCCCCACCACTCTCCTCCTGATGATCTTCTCCATGACCTTGCATACTATGCACGTTAGTGATACAGGTCTGTAGTTTAGTGCCTCATGTCTGTCTCCCTTTTTAAAAATTGGGACTACATTTGCCATTTTCCATACCTCAGGGAGTTGCCCAGTTTCAAATGATGTGTTGAAGATCTTTGTTAATGCGTCACACAATATCTCTGCTCCCTCTTTAAGGACCCATGGAGAGATGTTGTCTGGTCCCACCGCCTTTGAGGTGTCAAGTTCGCATAGCAGCTTCTTCACCTCCTCCTTGGTTATATGTACCTCATCCAGCACTTGCTGGTGTGCCCCCCTGTTCTGATTTCCTGGAGTCCTACTGGTTTCCACTGTAAAATACCTCTTTAAATCTTGTGTTGAGCTCCTGACATACCTCTTGGTCGTTTCTTGTGAATTCCCCATCACCCTTCCTCAGTCTGATTACCTGGTCCTTGACTGTTGTTTTCCTCCTGATGTGGCTGTACAACAGCTTCGGGTCAGTCTTTACTTTTGATGCTATGTCATTTTCATATTGTCTCTGAGCCTCCCTTCTTATCTGTGCATATTCGTTTCTGGCTCTTCGGCTGATTTCTTTATTTTCCTGAGTTCTCTGTCTTCTGTACCTTTTCCATTCTCTAGTACACCTAGTTTTTGCCACCTTACACCTTTGGGTGAACCAAGGACTCGTTCTGTTCTTCCCATTATTTCTGTTTCCCTTGGGAACAAACCTCTCCTCTGCCTCCTTGCATTTTGTTGCTACATAGTCCATCATTTCTTGTACTGGTTTTCCTGTCAGTTCCCTCTCCCACTGAATGTCTTGAAGGAAGTTCCTCATGACTGAGTAGTTCCCCCTTTTGTAGTTTGGTTTTTCCGAGCCTATTCCTGCTACTCTCTCCACTTGGAGCTCAACTATGTAGTCGAAGCACAGAACCACATGATCACTAGCTCCCAGGGGCCTTTCATACATGATACCCTCAATGTCCGAACTACTCATGGTGAATACAAGGTCCAGCCTTGCTGGTTCATCCTCTCCTCTCTCTCTGGTAGTGTCTCTAACATGTTGATGCATGAGGTTTTCCAGTACCACATCCATCATCTTGGCTCTCCATGTTTCGGGACCCCCATGGGGCTCCAGGTTTTCCCAGTCAATCTCCTTGTGATTGAAATCACCCATAACTAGTAACTTTGCTCCCCCCATGTGTGCTCTCCTGGCCACCTCGGCTAGTGTGTCGATCATTGCTCTGTTGCTCTCATCGTATTCTTCTCTTGGCTCCTGAAGTTCTGTGGTGGTTGTACATTACTGCAATTATCACCTTATGTCCCTCAGACTGGATTGTTCCTACTAAGTAGTCCCTTTCGCCCGTGCCATTCATTCCTTCCATTTTCTCAAAATTCCACTGGTTTTTAATGAGCAGTGCAACTCCTCCTCCCCCTCTCCTCCCTCTGTCTTTCCTGAGGATTTGGTATCCGGATGGAAAGATTGAATCTGTTACTATTCTGGTGAGTTTTGTTTCTGTGAGTGCTATTATGTCTGGGGATGTCTCTTTGATTCTTTCGTGCCACTCCTCATACTTGTTTGTTATTCCATCTGCATTTGTATACCACACCGTCAACTTCTTTTCTAAGAATGTGGTCTGGGAGGTATATTGGGGTTGGGGAAGTGGGAGACCTGGTAAGGAACTATGGGTTGTTGCTGTGGGGTGGAGTTTGTAATGTAGTGGGTGGGGGCATTGGATGTGGCATGGGTGTTTTGATTTAGAGTGTTTGGTTGCACTGGGGTTGACCTGGTTGGGAGGCTTCTATAGGAAGTTGTGAGGGAGGCTGTATTTGATCTTCTTCCTGGGTCTGGGATCTCCTGTCTGTCTTCTCCATCCCCTCTCTTTCCTCCTTTCGCCTTTGTACCATCTCTCTCAGTTTCTGCCTTTCTTCTTGTGTTCTGTCGCGGTCGAGATACACCTTCCTGTATGCCGGCATGTCCCTTAATCGTGCTTTCTCCTGCAGGATCCTGGTCCGAGTCGCTTCTGCCTTGAAGGTCACTTTCACTGGCCAGGTAGGTAGGTAGGTAGGTAGGTAGGTAGGTAGGTAGGTGTGTGTGTGTGTGTGTGTGTGTGTGTGTGTGTGTGTGTGTGTGTGTGTGTGTGTGTGTGTGTGTGTGTGTGTGTGTGTGGTGTGTGTGTGTGGTGTGTGTGTTGTGTGTGTGTGTGTGTGTGTGTTGTGTGTGTGTGTTGTGGTGTGTGTGTGTGTGTGTGTGTGTGTGTGTGTGTGGTGTTGGTGTGTGTGTGGTGTGTGTGTGTCTGTCTGTCTGTCTGTCTGTCTGTCTGTCTGTCTGTCTGTCTGTCTGTCTGTCTCAAACACATAAGAGGACAGGTAAATGTTACAAACTTTTATTAAAATCAGTATACACTTATCTTTACTTTCCTGCATTACTTAAGAGTTCTTATTCCTGCAATATGTCCTTTCTAACTTAGGAGACCTGGTCTGAAATTGACACACCGGGATGATGATCCTGGAACCACTAACAGGTAACATAACACATACAGCAGTTTCCACCATTCTATGGAGAGAATGTGGCACCAAGAGTTGGTAGCTCTCTCCAAACTGAGGTTTAGCAATGTTGTACTGGCTAGATATATTATTTTAATTCCACATTAAACTGTAATGTTAAAGCAAGCCTTTCCAGTTTAATAATACATCTGTGAAATAACAAAAACTTATAATCTGACATTTCAGATAATTGGAATGTTAGTTCTCGAGCTGGCCTCGGAAAATTATAGTCATTTACTTAAGTCCAATTCTGATACTCTACACTTGACTGTGTGCGTAGAAAGGCAATCATTTCCCACTCACTGCCTGGCAACAGCCCAAGTAGCCTTATGCAAGATGTGAGAGTAGACATTACAGTAATGCCTTAGTCTCCAGCTTTTTCTTTTTCCAATTACCAGTGTTCAGGAGAAAAGGGTACCATTGTGACCCATGCTGTCCCTTGCCCGCCCACCCATTGACAGTTTGTTGACACCCATGCCAGTCAAGCTCTAAAGTTTATGAGCTGCATACTGTCCATCAATTTCAGATACAATCCCAAAACAAATCTTCTCAGCATTGTTAATACTTGTGGTTCCTTCTAATAAAAATGATAAACATGTGAAAAGTAAGAGCAAGCCTCATAACCCAGAACATGGTAGAGGTGCCAGTGGTCATGCCGGCAAAAGCTTAGTTTAATGTATGACCTATTACCATACAAATGAGAGAAAAGTGGAATTACTTAAGAAAACGGAAGAGAAAAAAGAAAATGTGTAACACTTTCACCAATAAAGTATGGTACTGTACTCGAAAATTAATTATGAGATAAAAGAATTATGATAAAAAAAAAGGGTGTGTAAGGTAAAAAGTTGAAAGTGAACATAGGTAAGAGTAAGGTAATGAGGGTATCAAATGATTCAGATAAAGAAAAAATGGATATCACATTGAAGGGAGGGAGTATGGAAGAAATGAATGTTTTCAGATATTTGGGAGTTAACTTGTCAGCGGATGGGTTTATGAAGGATGAGGTTAACCATAGAACTGATGAAAGAAAAAAAGTGAATGGTGAGCTGAGGTATCTGTGGAGACAAAACGTTATCCATGGAGGCAAAGAATCGAATGTATAAGAGTATGGTGATACCAACACTCTTATATGGGTGTGAAGCATGAGTTGTAAATGCTACAGCGAGAAGGTGGCTGGAGGCAGTGGAGATGTCCTGTCTAAGGGTAATGTGTGGTGTAAATATTAGGCAGAGAATTCGTAGTGTGGAAATTAGGAGGTGTGGAGCTACTAAAAGTATTAGTCAGAGGGGCTGTTGAGGTGGTTTTGCCATTTAGATAGAATGGAACAAAGTAGAATGACTTGGAGAGTATAAATCTGTAGAAGAAAGGCAGGGTAGGGGTCATACCCGAAAAGGTTGGAGGGAGGGGGTAAAGGAGGTTTTGTGGGCGAGGAGTTTGGACTTCCAGCAAGCATACATGAGCGTGTTAGATAGGAGTGAATGGAGACGAATGCTTTTGGGACAAAATGAGCAGGGTAATACTTTGTGAAGGGATTCAGGGAAACCAGTTAGCTGGACTCGAGTCCTGGAAATGGGATGTACAATGCCTGCATTTTAAAGGACGGGCTTGGGATATTGGCAGTTTGGATAGACGTCTAAGATGTCATATCTGGGTGCCTCTGCAAAGACAGTAATTATGTATGAGTGATGGTGAAAGTGTTGAATGATGATAAAAGTTTCCTTTCTTTCTTTTGGGTCACCCTACTTTGGTGGTAAATGGACAATGTGTATAAGAAAAAAAAAAATTATATCAATATTGATTGTGCCAAGGCCTTTACTAATAGGAAAATTTAACATGTGGCTGTTAAGAAAGAAATGGTGAAGATGTTCCTATTTCTGATATATTTTTAAGGTTAAGAGCAGTGTTTATGCTATGAAATGAATGATAAAGCCAGCAATGAGTACATTCAAGGATGCCCTAACAGATTTCTTTAAACACCAGGAAATTCAGCAATAATAATAATATTTTATTATGACACGTAGTTGTACAATGGAATATAGTAGATGAGTGTACATGCTAAAAGCCCCTTGTATGCAGAGCATTTCGGGCAAACTTAAAATTAACTTAAGATTAATTAGGCTATAACAGATTAAATGGTCATTAGGTGAGTTACAGTGAGTACAGAGACTTGAGTATTAATAGGTAATGCTACATGGTTTTAATAGGTCTCATAGATAAGTTTAGTAGTGAGCTAAAGCAGCTGATGAGAAATCATTTGCAGACCAGTTTGGTGTAGAAATTATATTGGAGACGAACTGCAAAATGTCCTTTCATTTACCAATATGGAAAAAACAGTGGTTGCTACAAATCAAGGAAAAGACTGATGGTTATTGTGTTCATGTCAATGTAGTTTGCATTTGCACTGGAAACTATTAGTGATTAGTTCAAGTTCTCAACCAAGTGCAGTCAAGGTATCAAAAACTTGACAGTGCATTACAAGGCAAATAAGACTCACTGAGTTATGTGGAACATAATCATTAAATGCTTTTCTTACAGCTTACTGTGAATAAGCACAGCATATACACAGCACTCTCTTCAGCCCCATATACACACATTTTTACAAGAGGAAAACAACAAGTAATGGCAAGTACCACTATTTACTGATCTGCACACTACTTCAAGCTTTTTCACTTATATTTTTCTTAAAATTTCCTTTCGATTTTCATGTTCAGTTCCTTTGAATAGATACAAAATTCAAAATATCTGCACCCCTGATCAAACCAAACTTTCAATATTAGACTATTCTGTAACACAAAGTAAGAGTTGAGGCAGATTAGCAAAGCAGTGCATGATGTTGCTACGATGAATGAATGCAAGAACTTGATCGTATCTCAATGGAGGAAGGAAGAAATGGAGGAAATGTGATCACATGCAAAATCACAAGGGACTTAAAAAGCATAGATAATGATAACATGAAGTCGAGCCTCTCTTCACTTAACGATGGAGTTACGTTCTTAAGACCACGTCGGTAAACGAATTTGTCGTTAAGTGAGGAGCATACTACAATGGTAGTGGGTCTGTGTCAACTATCTTTGATATTGTTTTAATGTCACCTTTGGACCATTTATAATATTTCTGGAATATTTTTAAATGTTTATACAGTACATAGTTTACTGTACATTGTAATAAACAGAATAGAGAAAAATCATCTCTAGTATACATTATTTAGGCATGCATACTGGTCAGAGAGCCCATCGTAAGTCCGAGGCGTCGGTAAACGAATATGTTGCTAAGTATATATACATGACTGACTGCACTGAAAGCTCAAATCATTTAAAAACTACCATCTAATTTGAGAGAATAAAGTCTGTCAGGTTTCTATTTCTGTGAGTGATGGATATTGCATACATAACTGTGAAACTAAGCACATTTTACTTACTTGGTTGTCAAATCTTCCTTGCTTAAGAAATGTAGATATAAGAGGTTGTGCAATCTCTTGCATTGCTGCCAAAATGGTGTAGTTGGTAACCATGCGCATGACAAACCAGTCACTTGGAAAGACTGCTGCTCTTACAAGATCAGCTAGTAAAACTATCGTTGAATGAAGAAGGTGACGTAAGTGGTGCGTTCCCGAGATCATGTGAGCTTCCCACAGCTTTGAGTAATGAGACTCCCCCATCAGCTGCAGAATGCCCATTAGACATGCTACCAGTGTGCCCTGCAAAAACAAATAATCCAACATTATGTCATTATGATAATCTCTCTAAGGAAATCATATTTAAAAAATTGTAACAAGTGACTGTTTAGCTATAAAACACACACACAATTCTACTGATAGTTATTTCCAAACTGAAAGGATCTGATGAATACAGTGTTATAGTGCAATAAAACTGAACATTTTAGTGAAATTGTACTCAGTGTTTGATTAGAGAATTCCTGACTCAGCAGTTCTCCAACATATACAAGGAAAAGTAAATGCAGAAAGGAAAATTTAATTTTGCTTACAGTACCATATTTATACGTATATATTTTATGAGGAGCAATCAACTCATGTTTTTCACTAAGCATAACGACTGGTGGATGCTCAGACTTTTGTCCGCTAATTACAAGCAAACATGTTACCTGCCTAGTTATCTACTCACTTCCATGGAAATTTGAGACAAACAGAAGGGACTGCCAGCTGAGTATGTAAAGCATTTACATACACACCTACAACATTGCCAAAAAAAGCACAGTAAGTTAATTAAATAATTTCTTTAAGAACTGTTACTTTGCCATTAAATATAATACAATTTTTTTTCAACATGTTAGCCATCTCCCACCGAGGCAAAGTGACTCAAAAAAGGAACACTTTCACCATCATTCATGCATAATCACTGTCTTTGCAGAGGTATGCAGATATGACAGTTTAGATGTCACTCCAAACAGCTAATATCTGAAACCTCCAGGACAGTCCAGCTAACCAGTTTCCCTGAATCCCATCACAAAATATTACCCTGCTCACACTCCAACAGTTTGTTAAGTCCCAAAAACCATTCGTCTCCATTCACTCCTGTCTAACATGCTCACACGTGCCTGCTGTATGTCCAAGCCCTTTGCACACAAAACCTCTTTACCCCCCTCCCTCAATCCTTTCTTATGACAACCCCTACACCACCTCCCCTCCACTACAGATTTATATATTATATATATATATATTTAATATATATTTCTAATATTTCTCCATGGGGAAGTGGAACAGAATTCTTCCTCCGTAAGCCATGCGTGTTGTAAGAGGCAACTAAAATGCCGGGAGCAAGGGGCTAGTAACCTCTTCTCCTGTATATATTACTAAATGTAAAAGGAGAAACTTTCGTTTTTCCTTTTGGGCCACCCCGCCTCGGTGGGATACGGCCGGTGTGTTGAAAGAAAGAAAGATTTCTAATATTAAAACTTAAAAAATAAAATTAGAGAAAATGTTATGTTTTATAGGCAAAAGATGCAGACTGGCTTATAAAGCAAACCAGACCAAGATATACCTTACTTTTGATATATCTTTGATGAGTTCTGAAAGTTTCTTTACTCTTGGAGCCCGGCCATGGGCCAGGCTTGTCTGGTGCTTGCCAGGTCAACCAGCTGTTGCTGCTGAAGGCCCGCTGCCCCACATATCCATCACAGCCTGGTTGATTTGGCACTTGGTGCAGATACTTGTCCAGTTAACTTTTGTAGGTTTCTACACTTATTCCAGCTGTGTTTCTGATACCTTCTGGTAATATGTTGAATAGTCTGGGGCCATGAATGTTGATACAGCGTTTCTTTATTGTGCCCACTGCACCCCGGCTCCGTGTTGGGTTTATTTTGCATTTCCTCCCGTATTTCTCACTCCAGTAGCACGTTATGGCAGTGTGCAGATTTGGGTTCAGGCCCTCAAGTACTTTCCAGGTATACATTATCATGTATCTCTCTCTCCTCTGCTCCAGTGAGTACACGTTCAACCTTTGAAGATTTTCGAGAGTTTAACCTACTCTTGGAGCCTGGCCATGGGCCAGGCTCGTCTGGTGCTTGTCTGGTCAACCAGGCTGTTGCTGCTGGAGGCCTGCTGCCCCACATATCCATCACAGCCTGGTTGATCTGGCACCTGGTGAAGATACTTGTCAAGTTTCCTCTAGAAGGCTTCTACACTTGTTCCAGCCATGTTTCTGATATCTTCTGGTAAGATGTTGAATAGTCTGGGACCCTGGATGTTGATGCAGAGTTCCCTTATTGTCTCCACTGCACCCCTGCTCCTCACTAGGTAAATTTTACACTTCCTTCCATATCTCTCACTCCAGTATCTTGTTATGGCAATGTGCAGATTTGGGACCAGGCCCTTGAGTTCTTTCCGGGTATATATTATCATGTATCTCTCCTCCGCTCCAATGAGTACATGTTCAAGACTTGAAGGTATTCCTAGTAATTTAGGCACTTTACTGGCTTAGTGCGAGCCGTAAATGATCTCAGTATTTGTTTCAGCTCTGATATTTTTCCTGCTTTGAATGGAAGCCATCAGCACTGAGCAATATTCTAAAGGAGGGAGCACTAGCAATTTGAAGTGTCACCATCGGCATTATTTCCCTTGTTTTGAAAGTTCTCAATACCCACTCCGTCATCTTCCTGGCTGTCGTGATCTTTGTCTTATGTTCCTTAAAAGAAAGGCCAGCCAACATAATTATTCCCAGGTCTTTTACGTGTTCCTTTTGTTCTATTTGGTGACCCTCTTGAGTTTTGTATATAGTCTTCCTTTTGAGTTCATTCTTTCCATACCTAAGCAACTGGAACTTATCACCATTGAATGTCATGTTCTCCACTGCCCACTAGAAAACCCTGCTTATGTCTTCCTGTACTTTTTCAGTGTCCTCTACCGTAGTGACTTTCATGCTTATTTTAGTGTCATTTGCAAATGATGATACAAAAGTGCGACAGGTGTTTTTATCTATGTCTGCTATGAGGATGAGAAACAGCAGAGGTGCCAGGGCAGTGCCTTGGGGTACTGAGCTTTTGACCTTGCTGATGCTGGATCTTGCTCTGTTTACAACTACTTTCTGTGTTGTGTGTGTTAGGAACCCGAAACTCCATCTGCCTACCTTCCCCATAATGCCCATGGCCCTCATTTTGTGCGTTATCACTCCATGATCGTATTTGTCAAACGCCTTTGCAAAACCTGTGTAAATCACATCTGTGTTTTGGTCGTCTTCCAATGCATCCATAATTCTGTCATGATGGTTCAGCAGCTGTGACAGGCATGAGCGTCCTGCTCTAAAACTATGCTGTTTTGGGTTATGCTGGTTGTGATGATCCATGAAATTTGTATTCTGCCATCTCATCACTCTTCTGAAGATTTTTATGATGCGAGAGGTTAGGACTACTGGTCTAATTTTTAGCTAGTGCTCTACTACCTCCCTTATGCAAAGGAGCTATGTCGGCACGCTAAGGCCTTCAGTATTTCCAAAGAATACTAAGGGCTCATGCTAGTGGTACTTTGCACTTCTTTATAAATAAAGCATTCCACAAATCTGGTCCAGGTGCTGAGTGACTGGGCATGTTGTCAGTTTCTTTTTCGAAATCTACGGTATTTGACTAAGGCATTCCCAGTAATTGAACCCCTTAACTGTCCAAATGTAGATCTACGTTGTTACTGCTAGCACTCCAAACGTAGATCCATGTTTTATTTTTCCTGCCTCCAAATTTGGCACAATTGGCCTAAGATGCCTGGTCAGTACAGAATGGGTCTTAACACACTGTGTGCATAGTATTAAAAAATTTGGGACCACTTAGTACCTTGCGGGAGTACCAGTTCAACTGAGTGCCAGCTAGAGCAAACAGCATGGCAAACACCAGGGGGATTCACTGATGTCACGTCATATTAACACTCCCCCTTTAAATGAAAAGTGATGTTGACCCAGAGTTTAGTGGCTTTGAGATGGATGTGGCCACAAGTGGTCGAGGAAATATAAAAAAATCTCGATAATAACCCATGTGCAACATTTGTGTAACATCCTTTCAATTTTGATACCACTGGTAGTGTCATCCTGCCAGAATGTCCTATAACCTATATCCTAAGTATAGAGAAACATTTGATTCTGGAACATGTGTACAGTGGTACCTTGACTTAGGAGTTTAACTTGTTATGTGACCCAGCTTGTAGCTCAATTTGCTCGTATATCAAATCAATTTTCCTCATTAAAATAAACTGAAATGCCATTAATCTGTTCCAGTGGAATTCCTGGCTCTCATGAGGCAGGAGAAAATACTTCAATATAATGCTAATGTCAATTCTACGGCTTATTTATCAATCAAAGTTGATCTAATATGACAAAATAAACAATATAAATAACATAGAAACATGATATATACTCTAGAATGAATAAAATGTCTATGTAATGAGTGGTAGCGACCACTCCCAAGGAAAAAATAATTATCGCTCTGACCGTATCTTCCCATTCTTGCCCTTCTAAGGTTTTATTATGAGAGAAAACGAAGTGTTTGTGAGGCCAACTGCACTAGATCACTAGTTTCGTAAGGAAAATACTGAAACAAAAGTGGTTTTCTCGGATTTTTTTTTTCCCAGTCAGGAGGCCAGTCTATCTTTTGGGTGAATATCTTAGGAGTAAATCAGCGTAAATGCCTCATGCCTTCTCACAGAGAAGGAATGAAGTACATACTACGCTTGTACTGCCTCGCCAAGTCGACTACACTCACACCTCATTCGTGCTTTTCTATGATTTCATGCTTTAATCCGATGGACACCCTCCTCCTCCTCCTCCTCTTCTCAACACTGTCCTTTGCACTTACTTTCTTAGGACCCATGGTTAGAAAAAAGAAATTTGTCAAAATAACTGCACAAAACGTAAGAACAACACAAGAGAGAGGCTTCCATGGCGAGGTAACCACATGCCCTGTTGTGGCGTTCGCTGCGCCAACTAGTGGCAGCGTATCTGAAGCTCGCTTGTAACTTGGATTTTGGTTCGCAATTCAAAGCAAAAAATCGACCGAGCAATGGCTTGTAACTCGTAAGTTGGGGCACTCGTAAGTCAAGGTATCACTGTAATACATGTTTGGCTGGCTGGCTGGGTGATTGGCTGTATTTGAGTACTATTTCAGTACCTAATATTAGCATCAAAAAAAAAGATTGGCTATGAAATCACAAGAACTACTACAAATTGTAATTATCAGAATATAAAAATTTTTTTTTTTTTTTCA